TCTGCTCCCTCTCCTGTATTTCTATGAATATACTGTTAAGTTCAAAGTCTTGGATCTTATCTTCAAGGCACTCAATGGCATAGGTCCCGCTAAAGCTCTGGTATGCAAACCATGGTCAACAAATCAATACTTCGAGCACATGGCACTTTCTGACACAAGGATAAAGCTCAACTGAACAGAAGACAGAGTAGCTAAGGAGGCTGGTTCACGACTTCAGAACAAACCCCTTAAGTGAGCTAGGGATCACAGACTGCTCCACCTTTTGCTCCAACTTCAAGGTGCACTTCTTTCATCTTGTTTTCTTCACTGTACACACCACTATGGTGTTCATAAATAACCTTCTCCAAAAAAATTAAACTGTAACAAAAAAAGAGAATACTAAAGAGAGAACCAGAATAGAATGGCCTAGAAGGAAGGGCAAAAACTCTGAGTGGAGTAGAGGGCTAAGGCATATCACTATTGATTCTGCCATGTTCTTGAGAGCTCCTTGAGAAGTACTTCCAGTCCTACTGTTCCACATATGCCAAAGCCAGAACTGATCTCTCACATGCTTGCTAGCAGCAGGAGGGGCCTCCCTCAAGACAGCTTCACTGCCTCTTTTCTGGGTTTAGCATGTTCAGTGTGGGAGTAAGTAGACTATAGCCCAGTCCTTGAAAACTAGTATGCTGTATTTGGTACAGGACCAATTGGGGCTGGTGGTTTCATACTCATTTTATACCCCTAATCATAGTGGGAAGTGAGGTCTAGCTTTCTGCTGGACAAATATGGTCTTAACTCTTTTAAGGTGTATCCAACTGTCCTTGGCCCTAAAAGAACTATTTTAACAACCAGGGAGAGCTGCAGCATTGCAGTACTTGAGTCATGCACTGGCCCTGCTTGTGTCCTTTAAAAAAAAACAAAACATATTTGTTAGGTTTTTTTTACCATATAGATTTTTAATTATTGGAAACCATTAAGATAATGTAAATCTGTGGCATAAGGATGAAAGATAAGCAATGAAAGAAATGAATAATTCTTATCCATCATCCTAGATGACCTACATATTGGTAACTGATGGCTACTTCACTCTTTTGAATCATCCTTAGAGAAGTCTGATGATATGTAAACTGAATGAAACCAAGATAAAAAAAATGTAACAAAAAAAACCTTTCTTGATAAGTTCCGTGTGTATGCAATAATATGACATGCACCTTATGAAAAGAACAGAATTATTTACCAACGCATCATTAGTAACTGGAAGGAAAAATTCTGAATTTTATATTTTGCTATAATTTATAAGGACAGCTTAATAATTATTAAAGTTTAGTAACAAATGCTACTGCAACCATTGATAAAGTCCCCATTTATTATTTCTGGTTACTGCTAAAATCTGGCACTTTAAAACTGTTACTATGTGTTGTAGCAGAGTCTCTTTGCAGTAAAACAAGATTCTATCTGCCATAAATGGAGAGGGAAGGATTATTACAGCCCAAGTCACAAAAGTCAGACCAGAGTTCGATACACATTTTGAATTCTCCCCAAGACTAGAACACTTGCCAATGTGTTCAGTACTGTCAAGGCCAATGCTACCCCAAACAGCTTGCAATCTAATCTGCTGAAGAAAACAGGATAAGTATCATGGTGAACCCCTTCTTAGGCAGGGGCCAGATTCTGCCTTCCTTAGTAAAATAAAGCAGTACCTTATTTTGACAGCAGACATACCATCTTAGATGCTCAACTAGTGTTAATCAGTGTAGTACCATGGAAAGTCAGTATTGCTAGGAAGGTCAGAATATGGCACCAACCTGTGAGCTGGATACAGCTTGCTTTTAATAAAGCTAATAGGCTAACATTCCTGTGACTGTCTCTCTTTGGAAAGGGGGCAGAACTAATGTCTGTTACCTAACTTAGAAGAAATCATATAAAGAAGAACTTTTTTCTAGCAGTGAGTTCTAGTAAGAGAAACCTCACGGGCTATGAAAGCACTAGAACCATTGGCTATAAATTAATAAAGAAATTAAAGTTTAGTTGCTCAATAATACCAGCATCAGTATTTGGGGGAAAAGTCTGAAGACTGTGTAGAGACATCCGAAGTGAACATAGGAAAGCATATTAAAATTATGAACATGGCTATAATTTTCAGCAGATCAACATTCATTATTAGATGAAAAATTAATCTCCACAGAATAATCATTCACAGAAAATCACATCTGAATAATGCCAGAGGCAGAAAACCATACCCTAGAAGTACAGACTCTTTCAACTCATGGAGAATTTTCCAAAGACACTTAGGAAAAAGATATTCTTACAGAGTGAATATGCCAGGCAGGGCAAATAGAGCAGTTATAAATTTCTACCTCTTAGCCTATGCCTGGAAAAAAAAATTAGTAAGAAATGACATCAACTGTGGCGTAGTTAGCAAACAGCTATCTCGTGTACCTAGAATTTCAGACTCCAGGCAAAAATAAGAATTATCATCATTAACAGACAATAAGATGCCACAACCTATTAACTTAATCTGTTGCAAGTGAAGAACCTAATTTCATTCTCAGAAGTTAGATAAATGACACATTTGCACCAATGAACTCAGTCTGTACACCAGTATATATATAAAAAGAAATGGACACATGACATACAATCCCTACACCAGCATAATTTACTTGGATGCAGAAAGAGTTACCCTGGGGTGAATCAGGTATAAAACTTCATCAGCATAACTTACTTATGGGGAAAATATCAGAGGTATAACAATACTAACGTAAATTACTTGAATCTAGTATAGTGTTACCCTGGGATGAATTAGGGGTAACATTAAAATGATGTCTGTTTGTCTCCTCTGGATCACAGCATAATTTGCTCGGCTGTACAAAACTGATGTCAAGTACAGTAATGTAAACACGTCACATATCTAGGTCCCTTTGCAAGCAGGAGTCAGAAGTAACCAAAGTTAGGCAGGTTGTTCTCCTGGCCAAGACCTGTGTTAGTGACATTAGACTCCACATAAATAAGCTACAGAGAAAATGTTCAGACATTCTGCAAAAGACACCAGTCCGTAGCTGGTTAACCTTGCTACCTGCAAGCTTATTATAATCTTGATTATTGTCAGGATGATTCTTTCCTGTTGTGAACTGTATCCCAGCTTTAATTTGGGCTTTTGTTTCTCTTTTTGTGGGCCTTGTGCCAATCTCCCTGCCACACTTTGTGGTATCAACTGCAATTAAGGGAATGTCTGAAAAAATAATGTTATTTTGATTGCCCTGTGTCAGACACTTTGTTTGCATTTTATTTTTCCTTTAAGTCTAATGAACATCTCTTCATGGCTTTGAGCAAGAGAGTTTATAAAAAGAAAAAAAACATGTTGATGCTCTCTGATTTCAGCTGGAGATGAAAGTCTTTATAGGCTACACATGACATACACCTAACGAAGGATAGAATCCTGACCCTTCTGAGTTCAGTGCGAATTTGGCTGTTGATTCCAATGCTTCTAGGATCTTCCCTAATGCATTTAACAGACACAATGAGAAATAGCATCAAGAAATAGAAATAGCATCCTACTTGCCAAAAATTCCAGATTCTTTGGCTGCTCACAAGTGATACTAAATTATTACATGATATTCTTAGGATATCAACTTAAATTGACAGAGTTCACAGAGAGGCAGGAAGCTATGTTTCAAACTGTACCTTGGCTTTCCTAATTTTTCCCTGCATGCCCATGTGATATTCTAATACTCTTCCCTAGTACTATGACAAAGTTTCCACTCTTATGGGATTCCTTTTTGAGTTTCAACTCATTGAATAGATTGCGATTTAGCCAAGCTGTTCTAGGACAATGGGGCTAAGGACCTCTTCTTGTTTGTTCCCCATACTTTTCACATTAGCATATAAACATTAATATCAGTATTAAAATTCAGAATTCTGATTAACATCCTAGTTCTGACCTCACATACACCAGTTTCTTATAACTAGCTCTTAATTGACTCTATTGAGTTACTTCCAATTTGCACCCACGTCAGAGATGAACCAGTTCTGTGTTGCTCCCTCATCAGCACATAACTGGGAGAATGTACTTTAAGTAACTTTGCACTTTCAACTGAAAAGCATATGTTTACAAAGAAACCTTTTTTTTAATTGTATCTACCAATTGGTCCTCCATTATCTGCATACTGTGTCATATATAATGATGTCAATTTTAGGCACAGATCTAATCAAAAGGATACTGGGCATGTCTACATGAGATGCTGACTGTGCAGTTGCTACTGCACAGTCGTTTGGTTCTTGCATACACAACTACTAAATGACTACACAGTAACCAGAGTTACTGCACAGTAGCATCCCCAAATGGCTTTTTGGTGATGCTGACTGTGCAATAGCTCATTACTACTGCATAGTAGCTTGTTACTATTGTGCAGTAGCATCGCGTCACACTTCGTAATGAGCTACTGCACAGTCAGCATCTCATACAGATGTGGCCACTGTGAGCTGAACCAGCCTAAGGAGAAGCATGGGAAACACTGGGTGTTTGAAATATCCCGGGGTCAAGATTGCTGCTTTCTTCTCCAGCAAAATTTCTACACCCCTTACTTCAGCTCATCTAGAGGGATGAGTTAAGGAGGGGGGCTCTTGCTCCCCTTACTGGCCACACAGTCCAAGTCACAATTTAGCATATCTCACTAAGGTGACATCAAGAACGGACTCAGGGAAATTTCCTCCTGCCTCTCTGTGAACTCTGTCAATTTAAAATTGTCATGTCATCCAGATGATGCAAATTCCCATAACAAAATTTCTGCTTGAGGCTCTGATTACTCCACTTTCAATGATTTCGTTGACTCGACTACACAAATGCACCACACTTCCAGCAAAGCTTCCTGCAGCATCACTTAATTTAGCAAAACAAAACCAAACCCCATTTACATACAGAATGTTTGAATCCTGTTGCTAACTATTCTCCATTTTGGAGGAAACCTATTTTGAACGTGCCTGGTGGGTTAATTCTCCAATTTTCATAGAAAACTGTCTGGTACCTTGAATGTATCCACGCTGTTGGGGTTAAACAGCTGGTATTTCCCAGATCCCAATATAATTTGGCCAGAGGCCTTGTTTTCTCCATAAGCATAAAGAGACACTGTTGCTGTAGTGCCTGCTGCTTCAAAATTTCCAGTGATTACAGTAATCTTCCAGTCTCCTTCTGCAAAGTAAAAATTAAATGAAAACACTTTTATTGCAGTATCTGCTATGTGGATGGTGAGTGTGGTGTGTGAGGCAGCTGATGTGCAGGGACCTGTTAACTGCAGTATATCCCAGCAGTAGTTGTGTTAGAGAAGCAGTGCCTGAACTGCAGAACATTGCAAGTTCAGGATGCAAAAGCAAAGGTGTTCTTCTTAACCTCCCACAAATTTTCTCAGTTTACATAGGCTTCCAGAGGCTAGAAGTCTCATGAGAAAATGAGAATTGATTCCTCACTGATATTTTTCACTTGGAGCATCAGGCGGTAGAGGAAAAAGAAAAGAGCCATTCCTGCAGTATTTGGGTCATGACCCGTCTGCAGCCCAGAAATGTAACGGGGGGAAAAAATGGGAATATATCAAACCTTCAACATTGTTAGAATTAAATCAAAATTTCATTCTCATCTTGCATCCTTAGCACTGACCTAAAATTAGTATGCCATGTCAGCAAGAGACCTAGCTGCCAATAGAAGTGGGATTCACATGGGAAATTGTGCTTTTTTCATGAGATTTATAGTAAGATGTATTGTAGATGTTTAAAACAATAATATTAGTGCACTGTATTACAGAATTCATGCATGTTGAAATCACGAATGCTTTGTAATTAGTGATTTTCAAACCTTTTTTATATTATAGAACTCTTGTTTAGTGAGAGAGCCGTTTGAAGACAGTCCAGAAATGAAAATTGTGCTCTTGCACCTGAAAAGTACATGCCCTCTGTTGTTTCTTTTATTGTGCTTTTTGTCCTTTGTGTACAACAGGTTTCATTTACTGGTTTTTTATTCATTTTCCAGGAAGCAAACAACAAATGAAATCCCAGCACACAAACTTGCTATTAATAAATGTCACACTGTATTCTACAGTGGTATTAATAGAAAGCTTTGTGCCTGTTAATTGCTGCATGAGTTAAGCCTCTGGTATCTGACAGAAAACACTTTTATCTTGAGCTAGCCTGATTATCCTATGCTTTTTCTACTTTGTATGGATGCATGTGTCCAACACTATATAGGTGTCGCAGGTGTGACAAAGAGGAATGAGGCCCCTAATTCCCACTGAAAGTCAACAGAAGTTGGACATTTCCCTTTGGGCCTACCTCATCTCAGTTTGTACAGACCTACTTCTGTAGACAGGAAATGTCATCAGTTGAGGGGACACTGATAAGTAGCATGACTGACAAGGACAGGAACTGCACGTGGTACCTCAATTTAAATTCAAATTCCCAAACAGTGGAAATTTTTCAATGGGTTGAAAATAGTTTTGCCTGGATTTCTGTTACCTCACCCATCATGTTCCAAATATCTTTTCTCCTAAAGTCTAAAAACTGCCTCAAAAGATTAATCTATGATGTTAGTACAATTTTTTATGGAAGTCAACGTAACTATTTTTCCTGGTTCCCTGTACATCCTCCTCTAACCCTAAGGTCAGCTCCAGAGCCACATTATCAGTGCCTTTGCATCTCGATATTCTGGCCACTTTTAGGAAATACAGAGGAGACACCCTACTGAGCATACCCTAGTTAAACTGCACTGTGCATTCCCCAAAGATGAAGATGTTCAGATAGCTTTTGGTTTGGCCCAATAAACAGAGAGGAACCACCAGCAAAGTCCAAATCCAAATTTTTATCAGGAGCCAGACTTCTACCGGCACATGGGAGGGTCCTGATTTGGACCCATCTGTGCTTACACTGAACACCTAGGAGTTCCACCTAGGAGTTCTGAAATGTTCTTTGTTGTTTCATTTACAGCCAAAAGTAGAGAGACCTTGGGAAGATGACAAGGGAAAGGAAATGGAGATAGAAGAGAGAATGTGGGCATGGCATACGGATCTGTCTTCCTGAGAACAGAAACACCCATGGTACCTTTGGAAAGAAAATATGTGCTTCTTCCAAAAACAGGTGTTGCAAACATCAAGTGTTAATAGAGCATAGTTCTGGTTGTTTCTGGAACCAGAAAGCTAGCAGCATTTTTTATAACACAAAACATTTGAGATTTTTATATTTGTTTTCATCAAGACAGAATAAAAATGAGACCTTTTGAAAACAGCGATTTAAAAAAAAACAAACGAGTGAGTTGGGTCAACAAGTCCTCAGAATGGCCTATAGATTGATGTCTAGCAACTAGGAAACCCAGGTCCGTGTCCCTGCTCTGTTTCACCACAAACCAGATGAGTGCCCTAGCCCCCCCTATTCTCTGGCTATTTTCTTCATGTGCCATTGACTACACATATACCACACAGACCTGCCTGCCTTGACCTGAGGACAGTTTTATCTAAGCCAATGTTTTCAAACCAAATCAAAAGCATTTGATTTGATACAAGAAAGCAGATTTAAAGAGAAAAGAATATGACCAACTCTACTAGCCAGCAAGGTGGTGTTTTATTTTCATAAAAACAAGGAAGATAAATACATGATTAGTATTGCCTCCTATTATTTTCTTGGGCATCTGTGGCCATTTCTATATCCTGTGATCTTTAATGTTTATGTTCATGCTTGGCTGAAATGACACAATGTAGTGTCAAGCCCTACCAGTACAGGAAGAACCAGACAGAGCATTTGAAATGGGTTTTGTGGCACTAGCTATTGGAAAGGGCTGACCTAACTGTGGTACCACACCAACAAGACAGAGATTATAACTTTCTGAGAATGGCACAGAGAGGACTGAAGGCAAAGCTAATCATTTTTCCAAATAAACTGTATAAAAATCAAAATGTACATTTGAATATAATTTTAATAATAATTAGATATGCATTTTTTGCCATGGGGATACCACTTGAAATGAGGTAACGGGTCTCAGTGGATATCTTGATTACTACAGTAAACTATGAATAAACATTTTAAAACTTCTTCCTGGCAGTTTCCAAATTATTGCTCAATCTATGACATAATGCATTCCTCATGGTTGGGGAAAATGTTTATGTTATTAGGATATGGCGCTTAATCATCATATGTTACAAGGACAGAAAAATCAACAAGGAGAGTTGAACAAGTAGAGTTGGAAAATGAAAAACTAATGGTAAATAATGATTATATATTGCCTTGAGTGAGAGATTCATGGTGGAAGGTATTAACAAAAAAAATAAAATTAAAATTGAGCACTAATGAACATTATATATTTCCAGACAGCAAAAAGACACAAAAACAAAAAAATGACAGACTAAGAAAAAGAATCTGCAAAGGGCAATACTGATGTGATTTAGCATTCCAGTCAAAATGAAAAGTTCAGGGATTACTGAAACATTCAAATAATGTGTTGGCAAAAGACACGTGTGGCAGGTAGTTCAAAAACAGAAACAATCTTGTTGAAAAGACAGAAATATGTAACAGGACTTACCATTTGCTTCCTCTTGCATTTTTGGTGGTTGGTTTATTTCCAATTCTGCCAAATATAAACAATGAAGTACAGTTAATAAAAGACTTGTCTGGTGAAATTAAGATTAGCTGGAGGTGGAGGGGGGTTGATATTATATGACATTAACCATTGGGTTGCTGTATAAGTGAACACTCTATCTTTTACCACACTAGTGCACCCCCTAAAATACCCCTGGGAAATGGAACTGGGGAAGTAGCAAAATGCTTACCTCTGACATTTTAAGTGTAAATTCAGCATAGTTTGATTCCATGCAAAAGAATACAAATTATTGATATCAATTTCATCATGTAATAGTAGTAGCCCTTACCTTGAGGGTAGAGCTCAATTTCTGAATGAATTATACCTTGGCACATAAACGGGAGCCACCTAAGAATAGCAAACAAACAAGAAAGAAGTCAGGCATCAACTGCTTTTTCTTTGCATTAGTATATTATTGAATAATCCAATCCTGACTTCGAATGTTGAGTACATGTAACAAGCCAACTGTCTCTCGAACAGGTGCAATACAGTTTGATACACATTGGGTGCAGCTACACCTGATGCCACATTGCTGTAGCAACGTGCTACAGTGACGTAGGATCCACAAGTGTCTACAAGTGACCAGCAGCTACTTTGCCATAGTGGCACACTCCTCCATTATAGCATGCCACTACGGTGAAGTAGCTGCTAAATATAACTGTGCACTGTGTGTACAGTTCAGTATGGGTACTTACTGAGCCATGCTTTAGTACTTCCAGAAGGAAGTATTAAAGCACAGCGCAGTAATTTTGCCATAGGGCAACATGTAGATGTACCCATATTCATGAACGCCACGTGCTCCTGGAGGCTGGGGGGGTATGGTGACCATCTGCAGGCAGTGGCAGTGATGGCAAGGGAGTGATGGTGGTGAGCAGGGAGCTCCTGCAGGTGGCTGCGACAGTGTTGGCGGGGGGGTGAGGGGTGGCGAGTGCTGACCAGCAGTCGGCAACCACTGGCAGACACCACCAGTGGTGGTAGCAGTGGCCAGCAGCGACTGGGGACTGCCCACAGATGCCACCAGTGGTATTGGTAGCAAGGGGTAGGGGAGAGCAGTGACCACCCACAGGCACCACTGGCAGCATCGCTGGCACTTTTCATAGGGGGTGCACCGCCAATCTCAGAGGATGTATGTGCACCCGGATGCAACCCCTATGCATCGCCAATGCTCATAATAAAGGCCCTTTGTAGGGCCTCGATCCTACAAAGACTCTGTCACTGGAATTGAATTAACTGGATAGGATCTCTTTGGCTGGTTGCTTTGTTTTTTTTAACTTATACTTCTATTTCCTGCAATACATTTATACCTCATAGGGTGCATCTACATGAGACACTTTACTGCACATTTGTCTAATCTAATGTGCAGTAAAGCATCACTATATATACATGCACAGCAATTAGACTATTTTATCTTAGTTTAATGTGCTGTTTTAGTTTTGTGTACCTGTAGATATAGAAATTGGTGCATTAAACTAATGCACCAAAGAACACATGTAGATGCTGACTGGGAACAGATTGCTCCTGGTCAGCCTAGGTAAATCCCCCACCCTGTGGAGTTCAGGATGGGTCCCAATCTCCATGTGGCTGGAAGACAGCTGCCCAGCAGCTTGGACAGCTCTCCCCCACTCCACAGAGATTGGAATGGGTCCTGATCTCCATATGCCTGGGAGGCAGCTGCCCAGCAGCCAGGCCAGATCTCCCCATCCCATGGAGATTGGGACCAGCCCCCTGCCAGTCTGGGGATGGCACCTGGGGAGCCTGGAGCTCTACCTGGATGCTGCAGGTGGGGCAGAGAAGGACAGGAGCAGCCCTAGACTGAACTACTCCTGTTGGGAGCAAATTTGCTCCTGACAGGTGCTCATTCAGATGTGTGCAGGGGTGCAGTTTAATGTACCCCAATTTTCTGTGCAGAAAATTCAGGTGCACTATTACATATGCAGATGTACCCAGAGTGCCATTAATTTTTAAAGCAGCAGCCTCCCTCTTCCACATGTTAAGGATAATCACAAAGACAGTGGTATATACAAAGGAAATACTAAAAAAAATAGTTAGAATTATTTCTGTTTATGGTTCTGACCAAAGTTCCCTCTAAGGAGTAGCGGCCCATAAGCATGCCTTTTCAGTCCATGAGTGCACCACTTCAGTTCCTTTTGGCTCAGTCTGCCGCTAAGTGTCCCACAGTAAGGTAAAATTGATGCTGTGGCCCAGCCATGGACCAGATACAATCAATTGATAGAACTGAAAGGGAGGCACCGGGGCCAGCGTGGGACACTTTCTGAAGGTAAGCTCCTCATGCAGGGCAGACAGTAGCTCCTCCCCAAGGTGAGGCAAGGCAGGGCTGGGGGCTGGGGCTGGGGCTGGGGCTGGTGTGGGCTGCCACGGCTCCGGGGAACTGCTCTACAGGGTCTGCCAGCTCTGGGAAACTGCTCCACTCCCTGGCCCTGACGCCATGTGCCTCCTCACTTCCTGAAGCAATGTAGGAGTACAGAGCAGTTCCCCAGAGCTGGCAGAGCCCACAGAGAAGTTTCCCAGAGCCCACGCCAGCCCCCAGCCCCAGCCCCCTTCTCCATCCCCATCCCCATCCCCACTTCGCCTCAGGGAGGAGCTGCTGCCTGCCCTGCATGAGGAGTGAGGAGCTTGCCTTCAGCAAGTGTCCCACACCAGCCCCGGTGCCTCTGCTGCACTCCATGCCCAGCTCCTCTCTGGGCGGGTGTGTGGCGTTAAAAAGTTGGTACACGGCAAGATTTTTACTTCTGCACAGCTTACAGGGAACCTTGGTTCTGACCCAGCTGGCTTTGTTATCTCTAAGTGAGAAAACAGAGGGCCTGATTCTACTCACATACACCAGTTTTTCGCTGCTGTAACTCAAATCCAGAGATCTCCATTGAACCACCCCTGATTTTATTAATGTAACAGAGGAGAATTGGTCCCAGCCTGTGTTTTCAGTATATTAGAAACAGAATGCTAAGAGACATTCCTGCAATAAATAAATAACATCTCCACAAGTCTAGCTTTAAACGCATCTAGCTTACGAAGATACAGGCATAGGGCAAATCTTGTCCCCCCTTTCCCCTGATGCCCCAGCCCATGCACAGTATACTGAGCTGCCCCCAAGGTCAATGAAGACGCAGTCTAGTCAGTCTTCTTTCTAAGAATGACCAAACCAAAAGGTACTTTTCAATACTCTTACTCGGGAATCCATCTACCCAACTCTTTTAGTTCATTTCTGTTCCACAAAAATTGACTGTAGAGCAGGCTTTTTTTTTGTCTCAGTTTACTGAGCCCAATTAATTTCTTGTGTGACAACTAACTTCCACAGTGTTACACTAGGGATGAATTTAGTCTATAGAGTCAAATCTGGAACTCTGTGCCAATTCTAATTAAGCAGGGTTGTGCAGGATGGCTCCAGAGAAGGCAAGAGGGATAGATTTTTTCTTTATCCAGCTGCTGAACCTGTCCCTGTGGCTAACATCAGGGTTGTGATAGCTCTGTCACTGCAGCCCTACATCAGGAGTCAAGGTTAGCTTACAAAGGTACAAAGAAGCAACTGCATCAGGCATCCTTCATTTCCTTAAGGACATGTCAGAACAGCCTTAAGTGCTTGGGTAAGGGTATCCCTTGTATTGCTCAGCTGTGGGGTACACAGAGCTCTTCTGGCAGAGGCTTCCCTTAGCCAGAACCTCCTTCTGATACCAGGACCAGAACTGTGTCAGTTCTGGTACCTAGCAGCTGCTATATGCAAGATAAGCTCTGCTTTTTGGAAAACAACTGTGATTTAGCTGAAGTTGCAAGTAAAAATACATTCAGTTTCTGAAAACCTGTATTGCAGTTCTCTGCATCTCCAGTGTCTCATCCTGTCAGTTTCCAACCACCACCACATGTCAATTTCACACCAAGGACTGGCATGAAACTGACAAAGAAAGAGAGAGGTCTGCAACAACAGGAAGAGATGCTGAAAATAACCAGAAATGATTACCAGTAACACCCGCAGGAAAAAGGTCAGTGAAACTCCTGATAAATATTCAGTCTCTTTTGTTTCCAGAAAAGGAAAGAAAAGAAAAACTTTAGAAGGGGTAGGAAGTCATATGGCTCTTTTCTAATTAAATAAATTTTGCTTTGCTGACTGAAAACAGAGAACTGGGGCCAGAGCACTCAGCACCTTCAGCACCTCAGTACTTCTCTAGTTCACTAATAAACCCAATCCTATAAGGTCTGAACATTCCCAACAGAACCTTTAAAAAGGTACTTGCCATTAAAAAGAATTTTTTACCTTAAAAAAAGAATAAAAACCTTTAAAAAGAATTTAAAATCTAATCACATCTGACCCTAATAAATCAAATGCACCAAACAACTGACCTTCTGTTTTTCATTGCTAAATATGTATTAGCCTAATGGTTTATTTATACTGTTCTCCTTTTAAAACCACATCGTGCATATATTTTATCATCTTAAATTCTGAAAGAGAAATATTATTTTTTCATTAATACACCTCAAAAGATTATTTTAAGAAAAATCCAAGAGAGTGACTAGATTCTGCCTAGAAAAAAACTGAAGTTAGGCTTTTATCAAGTTAAAAAATGCTGATACTTCTGAAGTTAAATGACAAAAATAGAGAATATAGTATCTTGTTCATTCCATAGATCAGGAAGGAAAAAAAAGCAGGCAAGTTTTCTGGTATCAAATTGAAATAGTCATTATGGCTGAAGATAAAACATATGAGAAGGACCTCTGATGAACAAATCATTTTCCTTCCTTGAAATGAGCACTGTGTTTCTGCTGTACCTTTTAGCCAATAAGGCAGAATCAGAAGCCACTCCTTGATAGTCTTGCTGACCTATCTTAACCTCTCTACAGTAGCAATATTCTTTTCAGTAAAAAGGAGGAAAGAAAGAACTTTTCTTTCCTTTTCCATTTTATAGTCTCTGCTGCTCAACTCCTTCTGCTGACCAGACTCCTACATGCTAATTATCCCAGAATGAATTCACCAAAGTGCCCTGTCATGCATGAGTTCTGAGTCACATGGCTCACCGGAGGATGGATTTAATACTAAGCTGATCTTCCTTGCTTGAGGTAAGCAGCTGGCCTCATTTCTCTATTGAGACTGCTGCCAGATTCATGTCAGAGAGAAGTATATGTTTGTTTCAAAATATATTGATGGAACAACAACCCGATTGCACCCAAAGCTGCACCCCTTACTTACACAAGAAATGCTTCATCTCATACCTATACATTTATCTTTATATATATAATTCATTAGGATTTAGAGTATGCTTTTCATCTCAAAGCATTTCCCAGAAGCACACATATTTATTCCCATTTTAAAGATAGGAGACTGAGGCACAGGGAGTTTCAGTGATTGGTCAAAGTTATGAACAAATGAATGACACCTCTGAATGTACTATGTGATAGGATTAGAGCACTGGTAATTCCTATGTAAAATGATCCTTTTCCCCAAAACTTAAAGACTTTCTGCTTTTTTTGAAAATAGGTTTATTATGTATTGTTGCTTCAGGTTTTAGATTCAACACATTGCATGGATTAATAATGGCCCTTGACCAACTGGAAAGCTTGAATGTGGAATGATAATACCATACATCTACCTGATAAACAATTAAAAGAAGCTCTTCTGAGATGAGGGCATGAGCAATGCTGCCATAAGGACAGCTGAGCTACTTGCAAACAGTTAGCAATGATTAGAAGTAAGAACATCTACCTCTTTTTCAATTAAAACAGGATAGTTGGAGCAAATCCAGTCTTGCACCACATTAAACATCTTTTCTTGTGCAATAATATATTATCTCATATTTTCAAATCCAGGTATCTGGTAAATCAATTTGCCAAAAGTTGGTATTTTGTTCATAGAAATACAGATACCTAGCAAGAGCTCCAGGTGCACCTAATTCCATCAGTGGAAAGCAAATACAGAGCTCAGCAACTCAACTCAGCCTACCTTGACAAATGAATCAGGTGGAAAAGAGGGCTCAAGTCAAATAATGTACAATAGGTACTTCTCCTTGTCCTGACATCCCCTGGTTTACTCCTAGAAATAAGACTAACCAGACTGTATCTTAATTGACCTTGGGTAGCTCAGTGTATTGTGGTGGACCAGGGTGAAGAGACGACAACCAGGATGCTTTATGTAGGGTTATGCAAATACGGTTTAGTCTGCAAGTTTGGGCAATGCCATATGTATTATCTGTATTCACATCATTCTCTAAAATGTAAAAAGCCTGAATAACACAAGATTTCTCAAATGACTTTAGCTATGCTCATTTAATTACTTACATTGAAGACCAAAATACTTCTATTTGACATCCTTTTTTTCCCTCCCTCCAAAGCCAGTGAAGGAACAAAGGCTACTGCTGGTGTGTACGTCTCTTAGATTTCCCACGGAGAATTATGCTTCAATTTAAAAACTTGCTTGCATGATTTATTTTCTCTTTCGATATGGGAAATTCTCACCCACAGTCTTGAGCATTGATCCTTGTGTGCACAGTTCAATAATATAATGTGCTGAGATACAGAATTGCCTTTGCTACACATTACCTGGCAATCACTACATTGAACAATCCATGCTGGAGCAATAAGTAATATGCGTCTAGATAAATAACACTTTGTAATATTCTGAATTTGCCTTTTCCTGGAAAAAGCAAACTTAACACATTTATTGGCAAAACATCTCACCTGGGCATTGTGGACAAGGTTCAGAGCCCAACAAGCCAATATGACATTTGAGAAGACAAAGCTACATTAAAAACAAAAGAACTGTGTGTAAAATTCTACCTCTCACAGTTGAAAATATATTCAGAGTCCTTCTCAGCTTCTCTGATGATCACTTTATCACAGTACCAGTACTGTGACTTGTTATTGGCCTCACAGTGCAACAGCACCTTCTGCAGCTTTCCAAGAGATACAGCTTCTATTTCAAATGTATCAACCTAGAAGACAAGAGCCAAACAACACCACACAAGACATGGCACACTGAGAAAGTCTGAAGAGCTGCTGTATTATAAGAACCTGAGCCAACTCTCATAACAGCCAAGGAAAATATTCCCATTGGCTTTAATGGAAGTCAGATTGTACTTGAAGGGTCTGACCAATGCTTATTGAAGTTACTAAGCATCTTTCCCCTAAATAAAAGAATGATTCTAATAATTAAAATTACTTGTTTATCCCTGCTCCAAAAATGGCACAGAATTCTTCAGTACTGGTCCAAAAACTGGCAAGTTTGTTCCACCAATTTCATTTAAGGTATTTTAAAAGCATGTTCTTAATAAGGGATATTTTTAAATGTAGACTTCCCTATCTTTTGGTCTTTATGGTTTCTCCTACTCACTTCACATGGTGTTTTCTTTGAAGAAGCTGAAACCTGGTGTGCCATTTTTTCCTTGTTATCCATTTACATTTGTGCTTAATTTTGATAAAGACTACTTTATTAAAGGTGTGCAGCTAGCTAACCAAGACAAATGTTCAGGTTGGCTATGTTTTGACATACTAAAGAAGAGCATACAGCTCACTCTGAAGTAAATAGCCTGAATCACATGCAATGTAAACATCCAAAGAAACAAGGTCAAAAGCTATAATTTAGTTATATGCACAGGGGGGCAAACAACTGCATTAAGACAATGCAAAGTTTGCAATCAAGCATCAAAACAGGAAACTACAGGTTATCCATGCAACCTTATTTTTGACTCATGTGTACATATTATATATACTTGTCAATTTTCCAGAGGGCCCTGACCTGAGATAGTACATACTGAATGGATAGCTATTTGATATTTCTCTTCATTCTCATTAGTTTGTGTGGCCATGTCCATTATTTACTGGAACTACCCAGACCGCCTGCTGAATACAGAATAATTAATTTCCTGAGGGGGCCTTTCTACAGGACTGTTATTGCAACATCTAATTTCCTTTAAACATTAATAGATTGTTCTTCACAACACCCCTCTGAAGGGAGGTGGTATTATCATCTCCATTTTACAGATGGAATTGAAGCATACAGACTAAAGCAAAACTGTCAAAATGCCAGCTGCTTTTGGGTCCAAGCATTAATATTAACACTAAGCATTAATTAGTATTAATACATTCAGAACACAGCTTCAATGAACTGTCTTCGGTTTCACCTGGGAGGGTTCAGCATTTTTGCAAAGCAGATCCTAGGTCTCTCAAATTGGCTATCCAGAAAACAAAGAAACACACAGGCCAGGTACGGACATCACACTTTTACCGGCATAAGTGATTGGAAACCAGTCTATACCCGTAACAGAACAGAAGTTCAGCACACAATAACTAGTTTAAAAATGGCTGAACCTGGTCTAAGATTCTTCCCCCCACCCGCCCTCCACCAAAGTGCAAATGTGTGCTCTGTTCACTATCAATCTAAACTACTCTGCTTACAGAAAACCACATACCTTAGATCAATTCCGCCTTGAGCTTTTTGAATGTCTGTACCTAGCCACAATGAGCAGCTTCTTATGAAATTTTGGTCAATTTCCTGTGTGATTTCCGGCATCATACAGGAAATCTGTGGCAGGAGTATTGATAAAATACAGTTTTCTTGGATAAAGGACAACTGTTTTATCCTCTAAACAATTTTTCCCCCTGCAAACCCATGCCTCATTTGTGCCTTTCAACTTGTGCAGTCAGAACTGTATCCTCAACCTTTTATATAAATTATAATGAAAGGCATTGTCACAAGCCTACACAGTAGAGCTCTCTCAGAAACTTTAGCAAGGTTCATTAACTCCTTTAATGATTACTTAGATCTAAGGCATTACAAATATGGGAAAACCTGTAGTCTATATTGTTAAATGAGTATAGATCTACTTGTACTTTCCCAATAGATTATCATTTTGCCAGACTTTCTAATAACAATTCTTCCATATTTATATAGGGAGTTGATTTTTTTTAAAAGTATTATGACAAATAAGTGACAGGAGCCAATGCACCTGCATAACTACACCCTCAGCATTAGGTCACCAGGCTAAGACCATGAACTATGTGAAACTACCCCTACACAACCATGACGTCCTTAAAGACAACCACAAAAAAGTTAGCAAATCATGGACAAATGTCTTCTCAGTCTCTTTCAGGCTGGAGTCTTTCTCTTATGGCTCGCTGTTGCCTCAAACTTCTGCTCTGGGTTCTTCAGCTCCTGCCTTGCCAAACTCTTATTTCAGCCTTGTCCCTTTCCCAGCATCATCCACCTATTTCTTTTCAGTTGCCAGATGGCAGTGTAGATTACTGGTTCCTGAGCTAGCTTCAGTTCTGAGACATCCGGCATTCAATCCTACTCCTGCCATTGCTTTGTGTGGCCCATGCCTGTGTTCTGGACAAATACTCCAACAAGGCATTCTGTATCAATTTTGAGCTGGGTAAACATTTCTCCCATGTTACAGATGGAGAAACTGAGTCACAGCAGAGGCTAAGTGATTTGCCAAAAGCCACTGAGGAAGTTGATAACTGAGCCAGGATCATTATTTAGTAGCCATGCTGGAGAAGAATTTTAGTAGTTCCAGAAGTTCAGACACTTGCTCAGTCCATTAAGTCACACGACAGAATGCTGCATGTATTTAACTTATAGAAAGGCTTTTAGGTGAATGAAAGACAAATGAGATTGCTTCCTTTTTACCTGGGCTGCATTCAGCAGAATGAAAATGCTTTTTGGTATACACCACATGTTAAAAGAAATAAACAGCAAATGGGATCCTGCTGAGACCTGAAGTAATGTAATAGTTTTGGTGCACTCACTTGCGTCCAGCTTTAATTCCTTGTGCCTTGACTGAAAATGTCTGTATTTTCCTATGTGGTTTCTCTTTCTTCTATTTTTATCTTCTTCTCTCATATCATTCTGTTTAAGCTCCTCTCGCCTGTTTACTCATTTGGCTTATTATTCCTTTCCAGTTTACCTAGTCCTGTTTTATTCTTACTTCTAATATTGTCTGTTCTGAAAACACTGTATTATAGTTTTAAAATATTTAATAAAAAGTAGCTAAAGTGCTGTGTAACTGTAGCCAACATTTCCATTTGTTCCTTTCAAAAGCAATTTTTAGCATGTGTAAAGGCTACTTAAAAGCATTTCTGTGAATATACAAAATTCCTTGTTCAACTTTACCATTCCTCTCTGAAATTTCACTGGCATATCTGATTTATGCAGAAGTCTTAAACCAGAATCTCCTCTTTTTCCATAAATACAAAGGTAAACTGAAGAATCTGTTTCAGCTTGCTCAAAATGGCCAGTGTAGACATAAACGTTGTATCTTATAACTTCCAAAAACAAAACAGAAAAAGAGAAGAAAACACGAGTTAACTGAGTCCACAAAGAGAAAGATTACAATCCATGTGTATTTGACACTTTAGCATACTGAAGACTTTACCACAGTGTTTTCTTTGCAATAAATTTTCAGTTAATGTTCACCCCTGAAAATTCTTGTAAGAACCTTCATCTTCAATTGCATATTTGTGAAGTACATACCTGGATAAATGGATTTTCCAGCTTCTACTAGTGGGAGCTCACATATAATATCTCCATCTCCACGGCTTCTTGACAACCACTTGTTTGCTGGAAAATTTAACAGCCTCCTACTCTTTATGTGTTCCAGTGTCACCTAGGGAAAAAGCAGAAGTAATAACCATAACAAAATGGATTTTCTGTACTGCTGTACTGAAAGAAGAAACCCTATATTTCCTTTGCATATTCTCCTTCATGCATCCTTTTCTTACTTCAGGAAAATAGTACAGGTAAAGTGTACACAGCATCAGTATTTACAGTTCAAGACTATTTCTATTTTTGTTTCCACTTTTGCAAAGCACCTTAGCCTGGATTCAGAAAGACTATCTATAGAAGGAATCTTTATGCCCATTTGGTCCCTGGTATTTCTGCTGAAACTACTAATATTTATTCTTTATTATCTGCTAAGAGTTCTCAAAACATGTCTTAGTTTTGGAGCAAACATGGTCATGAATTAACTTTGCCTCCTTACTTTACTAAATATGACTGGTTCAGATTTTTTTATCCATGGATCACCTCCATAGTCTTTTGTGCTGTATTTTGGCAAGTGGTCTAGGACAGGGGTGCTCAATCCCCAGCCAGATCTGGAACATAGAACCATGTGATCCAGCCTGCAGGGCTCTCCAGAAACCTGGAAATTTGGTAAGGAGGAATGATAGCAATGAAGGCTGCCACCACTCCTCCATCACCAGTTTTCTAAGCCCCATGGGCCAGATGACATGGCCTTGCATGTGGGATCCTGCCTGTGCATGGGGAGTGAGGCTGGGCCCAACCTGATGCCATATGGGGCCATGGCCCAATCCAATAGGTACAGGGTTGGGGTACAACAGGCACACCCTACCATCATGTCCAATGCTGGGGCTCTGGTTGTGGGGCTACCTGCAGTGGGAGCCAGTGCCTTGGCTTTCACCAGAAGGTGGGCAATTCCAGCAGCACCATGGTTAGAAGCTTTACCACCAAGGCCATAGCCCACTGTGATAGGTCTTTTGCTCCAGCTCCAGGCATGGGGGCAGGGCTTCTGGTGGAGATGCTGCTCTACTGCTCTACCAGGGGTGCTGGCTGGGGCAAAAGTTCAAGGGCCAGATGACACAGGTCAGTTGGCTGCACCCAGCTTATGGGCGATATACTTGACACCTGTGCTCAGAAGGAACAAACTAAAACCCTGGATTCAGAAGACTCTTATGCTCTGCCACAATTTAACACGGTTTGGAATTCAAATGTTGACGTTTATTTGCCATTGAATTCTATAGTAATAGCTGTCTTGTGTGTTGCTTCCTGTTATTAGAAGAGCATTTTTATTTCCTTTTTGAGGAGCGGTTATTATAGCAGCATTTCCTTCAGTTTTTTCCTTCCATAAACCTTCATTAGGGAAAGCTATCAGTGCCAGAACTATTCTGTCTTTGTTTCTGCTGCTTTTGTGAAAGACTATGCTGTGAAAAAGTTTTATAACCTAAATTATGAAAATAGATCCTTGCACTCAACTTCTAAGAACATATTCTGGGGACAGAATAACTACTTTAAATTGGTCATCCATCAAAATGTTAATTTATTTTATTTAAATAATATTTATTTAAAAGAAAAAAAAAATTTTGTTCCAACATGAAATACTCTTACAACAGCCATTTTAATCTCTAACTGAATGTATAGACAACTTCAAAGGTGGATTGACATAGCTCCCCCTGCTGATTCGCAATAAAAGCAAAAATTAGCTACATTGCCAGGAAACACAGCATTCAAGCTATTTTTTTCTGGCATGAAGGAAATGGTTGGAGGACTGGGAAACATGACTTAAGAGGAGAGGCTGAGGAAACTGGACTTAATCAGTCTGAACAAACCAGAGAAGACTGAGGTGGTGTTAATAACAGTCTTCAGCTACCTGAAGAGACTGTTCTCAGTGGTGGCAGATAACAGAATAAGGAGCAATGATCTCAAGTTGCAGCAAGGAAAGTATAGGTTAGATATTAGGAAAAACTTTCGGATGAGAAGGGTAAAAAAGCACTAGAACAGGCTATCCTGAGAGGTTGTGAAATCTGCATCTTTGGAGGTTTTTAAGAGCTGGGTAGATAAAACCTTGGCTGGGAGGATATAGGTAGGGATGGTCCTGCTTTGAGCAGTGTTGGACTTGGTGACCTCCTGAAGTGTCTTCCAACCCTACATTTCTATGATACTATGAGATTCTTCAAATCCCAGGGACACTTGGACTAAGACGTTTTAGAAATATTCTGCAACTAACAGGATGGAAAATAGGATTCTTGAAATCATTTGAGCACAAATGAAATGTTTAAACCTCTGCTCAGGTTTTATATTGCAAATGTTAAGACCTTTGAGCTAATGTCAAAATCTGTCATCATTGTTTGATTCAGGTTGCAAGTTTCAGATTTGGCAAGATGAAATAATAAAGTAAAAATGATGTGCGTGTGTTCCACAGGTACAAATTTCTTATGTAGAATTTTGAAAGAAATACCACATGATGGACCTGTACTAATGTGAATTTATTTTGCCTAATCTGTCCCGGCATCAATCAGCAAAATAGCACAGAATTATATAATTTAGTAGCTTTGCAACATCTTTTTTCTAAGAATGGCATTTTTGTGAGCAAAGGTGTGCCCAGTCTACCCCAGCTTATTCATAACCAACTCCCATCTGTTCAATGCTTCTGGCCCCATAAATATCATGGCCTTCTACAACCAGTTTCTAGAGTTAGGCTCAGAGCATTTGATAAAACAGACTGAACAAATTAAGTTAAAATTTAAGTTTTTAGAAAACAAAATTTGGTAGTAGGTAACAGTGCTGTGAAATTGGCATAAAGGAACCATAAGGTTTAAAAATGAAAAAAATATTTAAGTTGCTAAATTTAGGAGACTTTAAACCACTGTTTGTCTCAATTCTCTCATTGTAAAATGGGGGCAAGGAAAACATTTATTCCTGCTTTTAAACAGTGTTAAGAAGAATTGCTAGATATGTATAATTGAACGTTATTCATCATCTAACAGAGCACACAGTATTTCTAGGATTTCTAAGGACATATAAAGATAGTGCTTTAATTCACAGAACTGACTAAGCTGAGGACCAAACATAATATTGACAAAAAATTCTTACCTTTTGCAACTTCCATTCTGGTTGTTCACTTGTTCCATCATGTCCTATCCTTATCTTGTAGATATTCCCAATATTTTTTATTTCAACCTGATTTTAAAAAAGAGTACAACCTCATATAACTAAGAATGAAGCATGAAAGCTCTATAAGTAACATTTCTCTAGGTTGAAGATGGTTTCAGCAATGTGATATCCTGAGTACTGTAGCCAATTCATGACTAAAAATAGCCTTACAAAGCTCACTCACTTTGGATGAGAACTTCTTGGTGGTAACAGTAGGATTCCATATACAAAAGTGACAGCCAAAGGTACATGCCTATCTGTGTGTATGCAATGCTAATTATTTCCTAACTTCCTTGAAAACTGGTAGTAGATGCATGTACAAGGACAGGCATGACACTAAGCCTGTATTTTTGCAGGCAGACCCTTTTAAACTGCATCTTTTCAAAAGATGGCCATCAAATTACCAGTACATTGTGCATTATTGTACATTATTTGGGAAGTGTCTAGATCATTGCCTTAGTAGTGACAACCAAACAGTATATTTATAAAAGTACAAGCAAGAATAACATCATTGCTAAATATCCTGTAGATGATCTACAACTTTGGTTAGGTAAGATCTGTGCAGAGGTCAATGGTTTCTAAAGCTAGTTTCAAACCAACTGTCTAAAACTAATTAGTTTAAGAATGCAGTTTACTCCTCTAGTTGCCCCTGCTTGTCTAAGATATAAGATAAACGGGTATTTCCTCTGCTGCTTACTAAATACATTTAGCTTATTTAATGCAGACTTCATGGACATTAGATACAGATTTATTTTATGCAGTAAATATAAGGGGAAAATGTTTTTCACATGACAGGATTATTTCTGCAGAGGTATACAGTAAAATAATGTTCTTCACTTTTATTATCTACCTGAAATTCATCCTCCTGCCTGGGAAGAAACAGCTGCTCTCTATTCTGCTTGCCAAGAGTTATTGGTCCAACTATGCCTTTGTCTCCATATATCCACAAAGTGATGTTTGCTTGAGTTCCTACATTTCCTGTCAACACTGACACTTTCCATTCATTGTCTGAAGGAAGGGGACACTTGCTGCCTTGGGTATTTCTCTTTTCCTCTGTGAAATACAGAACATCAGTGGGAGGTCAAAATCCACAAGAAACTGACAGTCTGTTATAACATCAGCACATGAGGATAATGTAACAGAAAGACACCTGAATTTTTCTTTCTACTAAGTGAGGAAGCCTAAAAAGAGTGATGTTTGTTTCATGCTACACCATATTTACTTGAATATAAGATGAGTTTTTTTTCCCCCCTCAATAAGCATGGAGAAAAAAGCCCCTCTTCTTATATTCACATAGGGAGTGGAGTGAGAAGCATGCAGCTGCTGCAGCGGTAAGTTTGGTCCTGAGCCCAGGTGGATGCCAGAATCAGACCCACAGGAGTCTCCTGCCCCACCTCTCTACTTCCCCTCTGCAACTTCTGTGCCCCCCACTCCCTTGCCTCCCCCTTACTGTCAGGTGCAGCTCAGCTCTGGCTCGGTCTGGAGTTTCCCCAGACATGAAGCAAGTGAAAACTTCTTCCCCTGCCCAGCTAAACAGCAGTGCAGACACTGCTGCACTACCTGCCAAGCCAATCAGCAACACCAACATGGCTGCATGGCCCAGCAAGGAATAAGCTTCCACATACTGTACCCTGGGATGGAGAAGCCTAAGTTGGGGGCAGGGGGAAGCAAAGACTAGAGGAATGGGGGGAGAGGCAGAGGCTGTGGGAAGCTGGAGATGTGGGGTGCAGGTAGCAGGAAGGCGGCAGGGGGAAGAAGTAGGTGGGAGAGAGGACAAGGGGACCACCTGGCTGCCCCCACCACTGCTTCCCTGCTGTAGCAGTGGGGTTGGGGGGGGTGAAGTGGAAGGGGAGGGGGGATTTAAGCCCTCCAATGCTTAGATTCTATACCTGGAAAATGATAACAAATGTATACATTTTCCATACATAGAAACTAATTATTGGGGGGGGGTCTTATATCCAGGGTCATCCTATGTTTGAGTAAATATGGTAGTTAACTTAAGTAGTTCAGCTTCAGCTAAGTGGAAAAGGATGTGTACCTCTAATGTGTGCTAGCCTTCCTATCCTTACTCACAGATAATTGAAATATCATATTATACAATGAAGCCACCAGCTTCTAAAACCTTTAAAATACCTACAGGGTAGTAAGGGATTGGAAAATAAAACCATGGAGAGCTGAGAGAGATGGTATAATTGAAAGCACTTTTCGTTCCATTAAAATATGTGCTTTCTTGGATGAGGGTCATACCTTGATAGAATCACCAATGCCTGAAAACAGAAACCAATTAAAGGCCAAAACAAAAAATGACTGTGGATTTTAAGGGCAGGATGGCTTTATACCTCTTAAAATCAGCCCAAGCACCCATTTTCTTTTTTACCTTGCAAACAAAATAAAACAGTAAAAAGTGTAAAGACTGTATTGTACAAGTTACAACAAACACAATTCACCACAGGCCACCGGCAAGGTTAAACCTACGACCATCAGCACCAAAGTAGAGCTAGCTGGGCTAATGGGAGTAATCATTAGCTTTTGGGAACAGTAAATTGTTAAACTCTGGGCCATATCTTATTCCGCTACTTAGACACCTCCATGCCTACAGGTGATCCTATGCTGCCTTACTCAAGTCCCTGAAAAACAATACAAAAAGTGAATTAATGCTTCTTCAGGAGTTTGAGCAAGGTAGAACAGGATAGCACCCAGAAACTTAGGGTGCAGGCAGAAGTGTAGCTCCCACCTGTAACTCAGAATGATTTCTGCAAAGTGCTCTGAGTTATAACATTACCCCAAACCAAACAGAAGTTCACTGTTAGTTCCAAGGGGGTGAGGGGAAGGGGAATCTAGCCGCTGATTGCACCCAGGTCTCCACAGCAAAAGCCCAGGCTCTCTGTCAATGCTCAGAGTTTCCAGAATGGGATGGAGGGGAAAGGCGGTGGAGGGAGCTCATCCTTGGGGCTCCCCAGATGGTGCTGAAGGGTGGGGTGGGTGAATTGGAGCCCCCCACCTCAGGGGGGCTGAAAACCCCCAGACTGAATTCCCTCCACTCCCTTTCCCTCATCCCATTCTGAAAACAGCAACAGGGTGGGAACTCTACAGACACAAGTTACAAAAGATGCTACATTTTGAAATAGTCTTTATCTGATACCTCATGCAATGAGGGGTCAGATTTTTACCCGATTGGTCATTTTTGAAGCTGTCTGCAGCCTTGCACTTGCATTTGGTCACAGCTATAAACAGTTGTCTGTGGTCAGACTGGGTGAAAATTGTCACTTCTATCTGGACCCTTAGATGCCTAATAAGGCCAGATTCTGTTCCACCTATTTGTATTAGCCTCCCACAAGGAACACAGCACAGAAAATTTCACAAGCTTATAATGTAACCACATATCATTTGAGAGAAGATATAATTCACTGAAGCAAATGCTACTATTAATTTTCCACCAATCTGAAGAGATAAAGAAAGATGTGAGGATCTTAGATGAAAAACCTGGAGGTAAAGCATGAATAAATGGACTCTTTGTGCTTTGTTACGTTACATTTAACAAGTGCTATATTTAGAACATAGTAAGCTTTAGGATGACATGGAACGTTTTCTGAACAGTTGTATGTTGATGCTTACTACTATCTAAATATAGATCATAGTACCTCACTGGAGCCTTTTGTTTTTGACATTAAGTCCACTTCCTTTTTTTCTGGTAAGCAGATTAAAAGAGAACAAAAATTGAGCAACGTGCATGAAAGAAATCTGCAAAATCTCTGGAATTCAAAGTAAATCCATCTCCTTGTAAATTTTTGTTAGTGTCATTATGAAAGTCTGAAGACTTAGTGATATACAAGACTTTGAATCCTCTGGATTTGCTTCTTATGAAACTTTCATGAGCAATAAATTCCACATTACATTGAAATGTCTGTGAAATAAAGTGAATAATTGAAAAGATTGCTCAGTTCAACATTCTGAAACAGTGTCTTGATTTTCTCTTGTAATTTCAGCAAATATTACTTTTACATTATTGGTAGCTACTTTTATAAAAAGAAAAGGTAATCAAAGAAAGTTATATAGCCAGTTGTATCAACTGAAGGATTTACTAATATCTAAAAATATCTGAGAACTAAATTCAATATGCTCTGTTGGAGAATGCTTATAACAGGATCCAAATGCACTAAAGTTGACTTAGGTATCCAAGTATTTTTTTTTTATATCAAGTTCACTTACTTTGGTTTGTTAAACATAAGATTAAAAGAAAACAAAAATCAAGTGGTGTGCGTGAGAAAAATCCACAAAGAGAGTCTCTCTTAATAGATTAAATCACACAAGTAAGCCAGCTGATTCAGACAACTAAAACACTCAGTCTGCACTGGCAACCACTAACAGAGATTCCTGCACAACTGCAGAGCCCCAGTGAAGCCTAAAGGAATCTCCTACAAAAATTGAGGACCAGTTCCAGGATCTTTACATGGACAAAATGTCAACTGAAATCAATGGGAATTTTGCCTTAGTAAAGACTCTAGAATGTGGTCCATACATTGTCAGATATTTTCACCAATGTCTGGCTAATTATACAATCTACTTATTAACTAAAGATATATTTTTCTGTAAGATGTCACTATAGAAAGAGTCAATGTCAAAAGGAATATTCTTTTTACAGTATTTACAGCTAAGATCAGAAGCAAGATATTCAAAATTATATATCAACACAATGTCTTTGGCTGCATAGACAAATTCAAATAATCTGGGAGAATTCTTCTGTGTGTTCTTCTGATAGAGAAATTGACATAGAGACAAATGTACATTCAAATGATGAGGCCCTGAAGAGTGGAGGGCTTACAGTGCTGACACTGCAGCCAACCAGGTGAATTGTGTAGACAACTCAGCATGCTCTGCAGGCTCCTTTAGGCTGCCTGGTGACAGATGGCAACAGTGTGTAGGGAAGCCCTGATTAGCTGACCCAGAGTGCCCAGGGTCAGCCTGTGTTTCCCTGTAACATGATGTGGGGCTTATGAAGGGGATGTGTTTTGCTCCCTGATGGAACAGCAGAGTCCAGCATGTGACACATTGTCTCACTGGGCCAGGAGATGCTGGAGGGCTATGTTCTTTTCTGCCAGCAGCCACTGCATGTATAGACATTCACTCTCCTAGAAGAAACTCTGCTGGGAGTGATTTAACCCTGGTTCTTCCCAGGTTATTCTTCCCCTGGAGTGGCCATTTTTACCCCAAGAGAAAAAGCCTGAACATCTGTAAAGTTGTGGTTTCTCCTGGGAAATCTGTGACTCTTCCAAGAGAAACTGAATACATCTGTACAAGGCCTATATTTCACACCAAAAGATTCACTTTGAACAAGCTAAATTTTGGTTATTTATCTCAATCAAAACTTTATAATATATTCTTGATTGTGATTATGAAACTAATAAAATATTTGTTTTGGTACAATGTGGACTGTTGATGAAAGTGAACATTTATAAACAAGCTCTTATAGATAGCAGAGAAAAGATGGACTTTCCATTGCACCTATAGGGTGCATCCAGATGAGCACAGATATTTGGTTCCCTGGGAACAAGTAGCAGTGGAGCACCTTGCAGCGCAGCTACTTGTCCCCAGGGAATGCCTCTCCCACACATGCTTGGGCACACAGCAAGTTGCCCTGGGAGCAATGTGGGAGCCTGGGACCAGGACTGGACTGGCCCCAGCAGCCTTACCTGGGGTCCTGGAGGCCTCCTGGTGCTGCAGCCATGGCGATCCTGCTGGTCAGATCCTGGCAGGCAGCCGCAGCACAGCTCCAGGAGGCCCAGCTGTGCTTTTCAGCAGTGTATGCTGCCTGAGCATGCACTGCTCCATTTTGTTTTCTGCAGGTTTTTTTGACTCCTGGATATCCAGGTGTCAAATGGAGCAGCGCACACACAAGCAGCAAGCCCTTACAGTGTGGAAAACACCGGACTGTACAGTATGTGGTACTCCAGACATGTTTGCAGTGCCACATACTACATGTCTGGGCTCATCTGGATGTGTCCACAAAGACTACCAGACTATAGGTGTTGCCAGGGCAAATGTAAGATTTTGAA